GTTACACGGCGGCGGTTTCCCTCCCCCAGGCCGGAATGAGGACGGTTTACCCGCGGGTTTTTTCCAGGGAGACGTTTAATGCTCTTCCCGAGGGGAGGAATAGTCAAACATTCCGTATCAAAACCGCTGCGCGAGAGATTTCGGATGCCAGAAAGCATCCGTCCCACCTCGGCTCCGTCTAAAAGGGCGGACCCCCGCACCCGACACACCGCCGGCCGCCTCCTCCCACGCCAAAACCAGAAACGCGCTCCTCTCTACGAGCCCAGCAAACGGCGGCCACCTCGCCGAAACCGGGACACGTTTCCTCTTGCCCGCGAAAAGCCCTGAAGTGCAGAGTTAACACGTTTAAAAGTAAGACGCTAGTTTGGGGGGGATTATGCTAGTTTTACAAACGTTAAAAGGTAACTTTGAGGGGTTGAGGGTGGTTTGTTTTTTTTTAAAGACATACTCGGTAAGAAAGAGATTGAGCTCTCTTGGCTGTCAAGTTCTCTCAAGCCCACCGCACAGGCACTAATGCCGCGAGGGGTGCCACTTGGCCTCTCTGTAGCCCTCCCTGCGGTAGTCGTAGTCGTGGCTCCAGCCGTCCCGGTGCCTGTCTTCGTAGGCAGGCTCCTCTCTGCCCACCCGGTAGTAGTGCTCGGCGTCGTGGCCCCTCTCCTCAAAGCCGTATTCCTCCCTCTTGCCGCGGCCATAGTCGGGCCCCCGTTCCCCAAAACGCTGCTCGCGGCCAAAGTGCCTGCCGTCCGGGTGGTAGGGGTGGGCGCTCAGCCGGCCCTTGCGCGGCACCGCCATCTCCGGCCGCTGCGGCATTTGCGGGGCTGGTGCGGGGTGGAAGGCGTGAGGAGCCGGCGGGGAGCCGGGCAGGGCGAAGGCGGGCTGTTCGTACTTCCCCCCAAACGGGGGCTGCTGCCGCACGGCGCTTTTCATCTGGAAAGAGAAGAGGAAAAGGGTCAGGGCATTTGGTGCACCCACTTCCCGGCAGAGAGCTGGAAGCCTTCTGGGGCACAAAGAAACGCAAACCCCCATGCAGGCCTCCAAATCGCAGATTAATCGTGCACTAAACCCTGGCAAAACGAAAGGTTTTGGTTTGGAAATGAGCCTAAACACGAACTTACAGAAGAGCTGCTACCCCCTTGCTCCATCTATAGCCAAACTCCTAAAGGTCAACTCCCCCCCCCAACTAACCACCCGAGCACCAGGAGCTGTACACCTTCTGGAATTGGCATTTCAAGACTCCAAAAGCCTATTCCCACAGCCTCTCACAACCATTACAGGAAACACGGACTCAAAGTTCGAGACAACCCTGTCGCGTGCTGTCTGTCAGCCGCAGGCGGCGGCAGGGTCAGACGCTATCAGCACCAGCGAGCAGCATACTACCGCGTGTCTCTGAAGGTTATCAGCAGACGGCAGAGACCGCTGCGCCGACGAGAATCCCGCCGCTACCATCCCGTCAGGACTCCTGTCGTATCTGCAGAAAAAAGAGATTAGGAATTTTAGCCTTTGGCACGAGACTATTGCAGTCCAAGGGGCACTGGAATCCTAATTGCATTACTCCCATGAGAAACAAACTAAGCATCCAAGCGTAAGCCTGAACTCGCCACCGTGGACGGAAACTGGTATGGACACGCTTGTGTTGTATGTTGGGCAGCACTCTCTCCACCTTACCTCACCAGATCTTTTCCACGCTTGCAGCAAAAGGCAACACTATTCTTTCTGCATTAGGATCTCAGCACCACGCACACAGGGCACCAGGAACGCAAGTACTTGCGCCATAGGGAAGAAAGACCAGCTTGCGCTTGGAGAGAGAGCCGGGCACGCAGCAAACCATGCGAACAGTTTTCTACTTTGCACTAGGCGCAGGCACCTACAGCGCGTGCTGACAGGACTCGTACCTGCTGCAGTTTGATGCGGGGTGCGGCGCGCCAGACGGGCTGGTGCTGGCGGCTCCGTGCGGGGAACAGGATGGGTTGCCATCGTGAGATGCGTGACTGCTCCCTGCAGAAAAACAAACGTTTCACAAGACTGGCGAACACGAGCTGGAGGAACTTGGGTATGGAGGGAGCTTGGCAGGCGCTGACAGCTGCCCCGTGATTAACTAGCTCTCGAGTTTTGTCAGTGACCTGCAAAGCACGCGATACGGTCTCCAAAACAAGACTCTGCAACTGTCTTAACAGCCACTGGGAAAGATGCAACGGGGCAGCGATATTCTGGCAAATGTCCCTCGTTTAACTGACATCAAGGGGAACTTTTACTGCTCGCGTGGTAACTTTGAACAGCTTTCAGGGGTACAGGTGAATAATCAAAGACAACCCACCCAACAGAAGACTCAGCTCTGAGATTATACTTGGCCGTAACTGGCAGAAAGGTCCCCTGTTGAAGCACAGGGACGAAAGCACACGCCTGCCTGGCACTGTGGTTCTACGGAATCATCGGCTATCGGGCGAGTGGCATTTGGCGAGAAGTACGTGTGATTTACCCAACTCAGTATCACCCTGTCACGCTTTGGCGGGGGGAGGGGAAGCTGACGGCAGTTTTGCTTTCTCCCTCGTAAGCGGGTTATTTCATGTTTCTTTTGGCGGGCACCTGAGCGGAACTGGATTCTGATGGGGCGGCCGTAGAGCTTGATCCCGTTCAGC